ATGGAGTAAAAAAAAAAAAGGCAGCGAGAAAAGTCTCTTTGAGCCGAGAGCGCGATGAAACAATCAGCGCGTGGCAGCAGCTCTATGCAGCTGCAGCAGACGTATCACGCGAGAGTTTAGATTATCTTTGTGCGCGCGGCAATTCGCGTGCTCGCTCGTCAGAGACTCGATACACGCCGTGTTGTTCGTGTACATGCTATATAACTGCTGGAAACGCGGAATAGGAAGCCAGATAGTACGCGCGCGGTATAATGTCACGGTTCGAAGGTCAGTTATACACTCACGCAGTGCGCGAGTGCATTATACATATATGTCGAGGCACTGCACACACGCGGTGGCCTGGCTTTTCTTCGCTGCTCCGGCGCGCGAGGGCGTATATCGTATACAACACCAGCACACATTCAACTTGTGTCGCTGGCACATGCTGCTGCTCGCGCCGTGGCAATTAGAGCGCGGAATTAATTAGATTCGATAAGCGCCACCCACCCACCTACCTACCTACCAACGTCGTAGTCGTCGTGGCTGATAAATAACGCTCGACGTCGGCTGGAAATTTCGCTGCTGAACGCGAGCGCAGCTGCAGGGACACTGCACACAATTATTATTATATGTACTAAGACGCGCCGCTGAGAGATTTGGGATCACGCCAGAGAGCCAAGAGCATATTATAATACACGCATCTCGGAAAAATCACCTTTTGTCGTCTGCCCGGCCCCGAGAAGCTGCTCCAGACAGAGATTTCAAAGGGTACGTGCGAGAGAGAAAGACAGACAGAGAGCTGAAACGACGTGTTTGTGCATTACTGCACACAGTGCGCAGGCGAGAGAAAGAGTCGGGCAATTATACGCGCGTATGTATGTATACTCGACCAAACGCAACGCGTACATAACACGCATTCGTGTGCTGCAGCAGCAGCGGCATAAGCGAGAATAAATTACACAGACGCAGCGACTGCGCGAGGATCGGAGTTTTCTCGTATGTGTATACCGAATAAATTGCGCCCAGCGGCGGCGGCGGCTGCTACAGCATTTTATACCGCGTCCGTCCACACTTATATACAGGGCGCGTTTGGATATACATACAGCGTACTTCTTACGCAGATATAAACATGCTGCTGCTGCCGAGCAGAGATTGAATTTCTATATAGCGCGGATCGCGCTGAATCACCGGTGCTAGATTACACACACAAACTTACACACGCAGAATAGAACAAACATACTTGTAAACTTCTTTCGCTTTTGTTACGATACACCTAGATTTAAGTACTGCTGCGGCTGCACGACTTTTTTTTCCTTTCTTTCCTGTATATACATATTTGCTGAAATCCTCGACGCGAACTGCAGCACAGCTATATTTTACTCGCCCGATACACGCCATAGTTATATATCTAGGATGTATCTGGAATAGGCGTTATTATTCGACACGGCGGTGGCGGCAGCTTTCACCGATTAAGACGAGCTGCTCCAGGTACTTGCGCGCGCCTCTGCTGCAGTGTGTTCCGGCTCAATGGGGGCCGCGTCGCGCGCTTTTCAGCAGGCATTCAGTGAACGCGTAACGACGCATACACATTATATACAAGATATATAGTGCGTCATCACAATAGACAGCAGCAGCAGCAGCGGCTCAAGGAGAAGAGAGAGAGAGAGAAAGAAAAACTAAGCAAATTGTCCAAAGATACCGTTGCACAGAAAGTATTTTATGTGTATATATGCAAGCGGCGATGCATATGTACGCGTGTTTTGAATGCGATATATAGGAGCAATTTTTGCAGCCTCGAATCTCCAGCAGCATTGGACGCTTCTATATACAAGAAAGACACACACACAAATTATAAATGATCGACGCGCTCTCGGAGTCTCGAGTATAGAATCTCTCTCGAGCTAAAAAGAAAGTGTGCGTACGCAAGTTTCTTACACGTATAGCCGGAGCGAGCGCTATTATCGTCGTTGCATTATCAGCAAAAAAAGGCCATCAGTCATCCGTATAGCTGCTGCTCCAACGCTCCGCTATATAATGTGCATGCGATCGCTCGTGCACTGGCCGAAAGACCAAATCAATCAGTTTCTCTCTCTCTGTACGCTGCATAATATGTATAGCAATTCTCGTGTTTATTTGCGCAAGCCATTCGTTCGACTCGCTCGTCCCGCGCGGCCCCGTGTACATATGTATGTGCAGTTGCTCAATGATCCAGCTGATATAGCATGAGCACAGACAGAGATCGTGCGCGTGTACGTACATTTGCATGCGTGCGAGTCTCGAGTGAACAAAAAGAAGAGGAGAAAAAAAACAATCCTCATTGTTGCAGCCGTGGCGGCGGCGAGCTGGTTCGAGAAAAGCGCCTGGCTTTTCTTTAATCGCGCGCGAAAAAAAAGGGTACGAAACGAGTCTATTTGCCGCGCGATAAATGAGTTCGCGAACACACGGCGGCTTTTTATCTGCTGGCAGAAATTTTTCCGACTCACATCCGCCGCCGCCGCAGTCGGCAGATTATACGTACGCAAATTGTATACCACCTGAAACTCGCAAATTTTCATCGGCGACGAGACGCCAACCAGCCAGCCTCGAACAGCTTTTCGAGCGTCTTCCAAACGTGTGTTTTTTTTCTTTTTTTTCTTATAATCACGAAGAAGCAAAGAAAAAGGAGCTAGATGCTAACGAGTCTCGGGTATCGCGCGTACATAAATAAGAAGCGAAAAATGAGATTCTTTTCAAGCGCCGCGAAGAGAGAAATTAAAAAAATCCTCTCGTGCTCCTCGAAAGAGTCATTACTACCTGCAGTATGCGGATATTCGGTCAACGCGGAGTTTCGTGCTCTACTATGCTAGCTCGTTCTTAGCCTAGCAGTATAGTAACTCGATACATTAAAATATATTATTTCTATACGTTGCATTAGGTGCGGCGCGCACCGAACTCGTATTCGGAATTGTATACAGTTTCGCAGTCGGCCCCTAAACCAACACGGGGATGAAAAAAACCGAGAGTAATCATCGCAACGAAAAATTGCCTCTCGATCCTCTCTGTCTTTCTTCTCTCGGCGAAAATCGAGAGCGCCGCGCGTGCTGCAAAATATACAGCATATAGTGGCCGCGCGCGTTTGTTTCGCGGGCGCCGAAACAGCTGCCTTTCGGCTCTGCGCCTGCAGATGAGCGAGACCAGCAGGTGCTACTCGGGGGCCAAATAAAATCTTGTGCAGCGCTAAAGTATCCATCGTCCGTTTCCTCCTCCTCTTTCTCTTACTGTTCTCTATACGTATGTATTATATACATGTACCAATGATTCTCTTTTCTATATATCGCGCCCTGCAAAAATCCACGCGCGCAGATGTGCGTCTATATGTGTTTATATAATAATGTATATGTATGCGTGCAGGCTGCCGGACCAGCACACGAGTCTCGATTCCAAGAAAGCGAATCGTTTTACTCGCACCCGGAGAAAGAGAGAGAGACGCACCTTGCACTATACACGCGCGCGCGTCTATATCTGCATTATGGATTCGTATACACATACAGATTATAAAACAGCGCAGTACAGCTTGTGCCCCGCCACACAATATATATGATCGAAAATATAGGCAAATCATATATACAAAAGCTGCACCCATTTCCTTTTATTCCATCGGTGCAGATCAGCTCCTAGTCTAGATCGGCGAGGTGTTTTGGTATTCCGCGTGTGTGCTCGCAGTACATGCTCCCCGTGCAAAAATTAACTTATCTCTCAGTGGCTTGGAATTTTTCGACCGACTTCTAGCTCTCGCATACGCTTATATATTTTCAATAATAAGAAGAAAGGATACGTTGTCTCTCTATGGCGTACTTGTAACAGTCGTCGTCGTCGTCGTCGTAGCGATCTCTGCACTCTCTTGGTGGTGCACACAGAAAACTCTATATTATACGAGGCTCGCGCGCGAGGTGCATTGCGCAACGTTGCGCGCCTTTTCTCTCTCTCTCTAGTTGCCTAGTATATATGCCTCCCAATCAAGCATGGGGCATTGTTTATTCCAGCTTCGTAAAGTCGGCATAATTTCTGTTAATATTACCTCAAACCAGTCGTAAATAAGCTTTTTTTTCTTTTTCTTTCTTTCCTCCACCTTCTCCTAGTCGTCGTCGTCGTCGACTCGGCAAAAAGAAAACGTAGTGTGTATACCGTAAGCAGAGTGCACAGTGCAGGCGCATTTATATATATGTAGGTATATAGCGGACATAAAAAGCGAGAGAAGGAAAAGCTGCATATCACTCTCCTCGGGGTCCGCTGAGGTTTAACGACGACGACGACGACGACAATGTTGCCTGCTGCTGCTACTCGGCTCTCGGCTCTTTGAATTTAGATAGGAGCGCATTAATACGTATACACGTAGCTATATAACGTCGCATCTATCGAGCAGAGCTCGCTGCTGAGGCACGTACGTATACACATACACACGTATATATACGACGATGCGTGTCCTTTGTTTCGTCGTCGTCGCAAAAAATGCATAAGACGTGTACCGTATGCACCTCTAGCTCCGAGGCGGCGGCGGCGGCTACTATCAACGCAAAGCAAATATGCACATTGCAATCGGCCGATGTTTTTTTCTCCTCTTTATTTATAATATATCACGCGTGCTAGGTCTCGAGTACAGAGAGAGCTATGTAACCTTTGCCCTCTCGCTGCTCCTCGGCCGCATCGTCGGTCATCGTCGTCGGTCGTCGTCGTCGCCTCGTGTGCTATGTACGCATTATATTAATATATAAATATGTCAATAGCTCGTCAAGTAACTTATGTATATCTCCTCGCTCTCGGCTACTTGTCGACAAAGCTATATGCTCTACAAGTCAATCTCTCTCTGTCTCTATCTGCCGAGCTTTCGAGCCAATTATATCATTGAAACGTGCCTTTTGTGCCGCGCGGCGCGTCTTCGCGCTCGGCTATCATGATACAGCATATTATTATTTTAAATTACGATGAAACGAGTCTGATCGTCGTCGTTAATGATTTTTTTCGTTTTATTTTTTTATTCGTAGAGTCCCGGCACGCTGTACAACAAAGATGTCGGCGGAGGCGGCGGTGGTGGCGGCGGTCACGTCAACAAGACCAGTGCTAAGAGCATCGGCGGCGGCGGTGGTCTGGGCGGCGGCGCCACCCTCACCTCGCTCTCGGCCAACATCGGCAATTCCGTCAACGTCGGCCGCAACAAGAACGCCCCGATACAGGCGCATCGCGAGGTAAGGATCATCGCATGATCGTCGAGTTACATTATAAGAGTCGACTGGCATTTATTTTACGCAATTCACTTTTTTGCGCCCGGCCCATTAACGTAATTACCGATAATTAAAACAAACACGATGCCGAGCGAGCGAGACAAATAACTCTGCGCTGCTCGCAGGTATATGATATCATAATTTCATATTAGCTATTCGACTTGACTCTGACGCAAGGGTGTGTTGTGTCGTCGTAGTCTTAGTCTATCTGCTCTATTTGCATTTACGTGCGGTTCATTTGCGCAACGATATTGCACCTACAGTCGAATGTGCGGCAAAAAAATGTGTGTCTGTAATGTGTGCGTCCATCGATTGCCATCACCAGCACACCGGCCACACGCCAACGGGGTGGGAGAAAAAAAACACCATGAAGTAGAGAAAACGTTTTCACCGTTTCCCAAGCGTGCTCACAACAAAAAAAAGAAAAAAGAAAAAAGGTGTATCGTGGAAATCGGTGCTGCTTATAAACGCGCGATACATTTAAACACTCGAGAGCTCTTTCTTTCCTCGCTCTTTTGAAACTATACACGGTGACTCGAAGAAAAAAACCAGAGAGAAAGAAGAAATTAAGAATCCGAGCTCATCGTCGTTTACCGATCCGGTTTTAAATATATGGTTTACGCGCGAGTGCGGCAGCAGCAGATGCACTGAGCTTGCTGCTGCTGCAGGCTGCCGATCACGAGCGAAAAAACGCGTTAAGATAATGCGAAGAGAAAGAGAGAGAGAAAGAAAAGAAGCTGCCCCGCGCGTACCAACTTTCATGCGAGAGCTGCCACAGCGATTCTCGGTCAAGACCTCGTGTGTATACGCAGATATCTTACGACTGTTATAATGTAGCCGAGCGAGAGAGATGAATTTGTAGGGTATCGGACCAAACGTGGAATATTGGCTTTTTACGCATCTCATCGAGCGCGCGCGCGCGGATGATCGTCATTTTTTTATGATATACGCCAAGTAATTTAAATCCCGGTCAGCGAGGATCTCCACACGGAGATATCGTCATTACGTATGTATTATCATCATTATTATTATATATGGCGTGTACGAGAGTACAGGTCAAATAGAATATCTCGAAACTCCTGTGCATTATAGTGTAACGTAATTCACTCGGACTCTGCTCGCAACCGCATCACCGCATTTATATTTGCTCATACGCGCAGGTACGGAGAGCTCATGCGGAGAAGAAGAAAAAGCTCCTCGCTGCTGATGCTGCTGCTGCTGCGCATCTCTCTGTCTAACGGGACACGCGGACGATAATCGTTTTAGCACGCCAACGTAAATAAGGGGGCAGTAGCTAAGGAGTGTATAGGAGCTATGTGTACGATCATTGTCGTCGATCTCGAAATATATTATAATATTACGTATGAACCCGGCGAGAGCTCGTAGCTACTTTGCGAAAAACTAAGGAAATTCGATACCTTGAGGTTTTTATAAGCGAGTATAGATGATGTAGCTGCGACTCTAAGCGTGTAGTACTATATATAGTAGTCGTATACGACAAACGAGGAGAAAAAAATTAAAGCTCGCGCGAGGTAGAGGTACTACTACTACATTATATACGCAACGCACGACGAAGATCGCAGAGATAGCGATCGGCTGCGAATCGGATGAACATTCAGCTACCGCGAGTAGCTGCAGCCAGTTTAATATAGTATGTATATTGTGCATATACGAGCAAGAGAGTGAGAGAGAGAGAGAGACATTCGCTATATAGCTCTCTGTATTCTGCGACTTACGTAAGGCGCAATTAGGTGACTGAGCGTGCGCGCGAGTTAACTTTCTAAAATGCCATAGAGGACTGATGGCTGCACACACACTCATGTGCACAGCTGCAGCAACAGCGGCGTAGTTTATATCAATAATGCATCGACGAGCCACGTATATATATATATCAGTAGTAGTAGCGCGCGAAAGCTGCGCGCAAAAATTTATCCGACTGCTGCGCTGCAGGCCTGATTAGCCGCGCGCGAATCGTCGAGAGATGTATCGACGAGCGTCGCGCATCTAATTGTCACCGCACTCAGCAGTGGCACGTAGAAAATATATCGATATTCATTTATTTATCTGCGTGCGGATCACTTGCACAATGGACTTTTTTGTTCTGCTGCAAGGCTATAAAGTCCTTAGGCGATATATCCACCGAATCGCGCTGAAATCGATTTCTCGCCACCTCTGCGCGGCATCGTAATGATGAATATGGATTATTTCGAATCGTGCGCGCGAAAAACGCTCAAAGCTGCGACGACGCGCTCGATAACGTTGCAACGGTGCGATATAAAGATCGCAATTGCTGCTGCTGCTACACGCATGCATGCATATGCGCTGGGAGTAGCTCGAGGTATATACGTATACGGTTTGCATACAATACGCTACATATATATATACATGCGAGTGAATAGTAGTGGCGATCGCTATTATATATTGTTGCATATATGTACACTCGCGTTATAAGGAAGGTCACGGTGCGACGCTGGGTCATCGACACCGGCGGCAGCGGCTGCTCCGTGTATATATAGCTTGCGAGGCGCGCCTCGTGCACGCATGTTTGTGTTTTTATATAGTACGTATACATATGCATTGCATATTTTATGCGCCTTGCACGAGAGATAAATTACGATCGAAATCGTGACAAGTGCCTCGGCTCGTGGCTTCTTATCGCGGAGAATAGGGAAAAATTGAAAATTAGGGTACGCTTTTCCGCGCGGATAATGAGTGCGTATTGTGTGTCGTGTGTAGCGTTTATTATAAAGAAGCTGCTGCGCAGTACGTCTGATGCGCGAGCCTAGGAATTCATACTACCGAGCGCGAAGAAGAAGCTCCTCTTTCTCTACACATTATGTGTGTGTGTAGCCGCGAAGAAAACGTGTCAAGTACGTCATCGTCGCGCGACTATGCGATCGTCGTTTGTGTGTGTGGCGCATCACACGGTAAGCACTCGCGTGCGATCTATATAGCTATACATCGCGGAATATAGCTAACCCAGTGCTGCGCCATGGCACAGCTGCTGCACTAGACGCGGTGCAGTGACCGAGTATAGCTGTCGAGTATATATAGACGCGCGGATCGTTACGAATCTCGGGACTCGCTATTGTGCACTCTCGCGGTGCAGCACTCTCACATGTATGTACGGTTAACGCACACATTGAAACAAAGGAACGACTCCGTAGCTGGTAAGCCAGAACGCACACTTTTCTCTCCGGTTCATTGCCTCGCTTACACATACACATATCGCCGAGTATCTTTTTACACATAATTTAAAGATCGATATCGATTTCGGAGTAAGAGAGAGAGAGAGAGGTTGTGGTGGCTCGAGGCATCGGCATTATCATAGGTAACCCTTATTATTGCGAAAGTGGAACGAGTCGAGGAGATTTTAATTTATTCCGCGACTACTTGCGACTGACTATGTATTGCCTGTACACAAAATCATACATTATCCGTCGTCACTATACATACTGCTGCGATACAACAAAGACCCACCGATCGACCCCTGGTCCCGAGTATCTATGAGGAGCAGCTCACCTACTCCTTTATTCGGATCGATTTCGTAAAAATATTGTGCCGCAGTGCACCGCTCGTGATATATATTTTCAATAGCATCGTCATGATCCTCGCTCGCGATTTGCTAAAAGCCAATATTGCGCGCGTTCGGATTTCAGAGCTTTATGCATATTATAATATAAAATATAAGGTAATATGTGCCGATCCCCGGCCACGACGACTCGTCCCCGCGGATTGTGATCCGTTATCTTTCCACAGATCTGCGGTAGCCGCGGTACATATCTTCGTGGATCATATTCCTGCGTGCATACAATGTATCGGTGTATAAAGTCGGGGTCATGAGCTCGCGCGCGAATGATAATAATTGCCATCAATGGTCGATAACAAGATCGACGTATCGTCGGCTCGTATTGTATTCTCTCTATATATACATTCGTTAACGGGGCGTCAAGTGGCGGCGGTGGTAATGGTGGTGGTGAAAGTTCGCGGCGCGGCGTGCATTATGTAAAAGATCGGCTTCGGCTATACATGTATGCGCCGCGATCACGGTCGCATCGACCGATCAGCCGCGGCAATCAATTGGCCGTCGTTGTCTTCTCTCTCTCTCTCTCTTGTTGTGTTGTGATCGTTGTCGTCTCTCTCTCTCTCTCTCTCTGGAGCTAGCCGTACACTATATAGTTATACGTAGTCTCACTCTGCACGAGAGAGAGAGAAAGTTTTTGTTTTTTTTTCGCTTTCGCTTTTTGCGCAGCGTCGGCGTCGGCAGCTGTCAACGAGGATCAGGCCTATCATCGGCCGACGTACACTATGTATGTTTATATACCTCGATTGAAGCCCCGAGCTCGTAGAGAGACGCGACGACGACGACAGAGAGAAGCGGTAATTGACCGAGGCAATGAGCCGCGTTATATGTATCGTACATGTATATATAGGGGCCGGAGATTAACTCCTCGGCGCGCGGCTCTCCGATATTATAATATACTGTATGTATACGGTACGGTGTGTGTACGCGCTCGATCGGCCACTCGAGCTTTTGATTACGGCCGGCCGAGTATGAGATGCGATTATAGAAACGTTGCGTGTTATACCGTGTGTCGCTTTGATCTCGCTATACTCCAGATCGAAAGCTTTTCGCGATGCGACGCGTTGTACTGTATACGCATATAAGAAAAGCAGACTCGTGAATATTCTCGCTCGGGGCTTAAATACTCTCCTACTCGTCGAGTGTATTGACTCGCCCTGCCGTCGCGACGATGCGGCCCGCGCACACGTCAATACGTATACCTGCTGCAGGCGCACTTCCGGAAGGCTCGAGCGTGACTTCCCGCGTGCGCAACGACAACGAAAAAAAATATTTGCATGTATAGTTTCGACGCGACTCGCGAGCGCTATGGGTTTTACGGATAATACATACGCTTTTTTTCTCTAGGCCCCCCCGTGAACGTTTAATTCTACACGTACAC